CGGGCATCTGAGATGCTCAAGCAACGTGAGGCTGAACGGGAAGACAGAAATACAGAGGCAGAAGCCCACTAAAGAGGGTTCAGGCCCAGGGGCTTCCGGGCCAGGCTGGGAGGCACACAGGAAGGAAGGATGAGTTTCGAACTCCCCTTCCACACCATTTCCTGCCTTTGGGTCAGCCTGTTCAAGATGGACCAGCTCCTTCCCTAGTTGAGGCCCCACATTTCCAAGGGTCCATGCTTGCCCAGCTAACCCTGGTGGCGGGGGGCAGGGAGGAGGAAGAGGACCAGGGGTCTGATGGTGAAGCCTGAAGTGGTCTTTTGCAAGGGGACCATTTCCCTAGAGCATCCTCCCCTGCTTCCTTGTGCTGTGTGTGGTGTTTCCTTCCACTGGAGTGTGAGTCCCAGGAGAGCAGGACTCTCCACCATCCGGTCCCTGAGGTTCCAGGACACTGCCTGCGCTAGTGTATTGGTTACTTTTGATAAGTAAACGGCGCTGGTTACCAGCGGGAAAGTCACAAGCCACGGCCACGACTACCAGTTACAGAGAGCTTTATTAGAAGGAAGGAGGGGAGAGGAGGGAGGGGAGCCAGGCCTGGGGGGAGGGAGAGAGGACGGGAGCAGAGAGGGAACAGAGAGAAAGCAGAGAGCAGAGAGAGAGGGTGGGGGCCCACGTCTGGCTTTTTAAGGCGCAGATTGTGGCCAGACCGCGTACATAGTCTCCAGCGCCCACTGATGACGTAAGACGCAAGACCCCAAGCTCGCATGTGTGACCCAAGTCTCTACCTATCACTACAAGGAAGAAAATGTAGAGTGCTTCCCTGGTGTGTGGAAGACCCTGGGCTCAATTCCTGGCACCACAACTTGGGTGGTAGTGGTGGTGTAAAAAGCCACAAACTTCTAAAAAAATAATAACTTAAATAAATGGAGCCTTTGGCTAGGAAGCCTTGGCATGGTAAGCATTCGTGAGACATTCATGCCATCCGGGGCCAAGTTAGGATAGAGCTGGTGACTCTGTTCACCCCCTTAAGGAAAACTTGAGCAAACTAGATTTGGGGGAGTAGGGTGATGAGGTTAGCAACAGGTCCGGAAACCACCTCACACACTAGCAGGCTGGGCATCCCCATCAGAGCAGGAACATCCTCAGAGGCACTGAGTTCTTGTGTCCACTGGGCTTGAGAAGGCTCGGGAGCAAAGTGACAGTGTGGGAGAAGTACCGGTCTTCCTCTGACGGGCAATACGAGTAATCGTGACAGGAAAAGAGAGGGGATATTGTTCAAACATATATTGCTCCTTTCTGGAAGTCAGCTGTGCCAGCCAAGGCACGGGACACAGCACATCTGTGACGACTATGATGATGATGCCGTGCGTGCGTGCGGGCGGGTTATGTGGATGGAATGCCGTGACCACCGCCCCAGGCTACATCTGGAGAGCACTGAACTTCCAGATAAAAAGCAACACAGGTGCAAACAGGCAGCAGCTGCTCAGCCTCTCGCGGAGAGAGTCACAGGAAAGCTGCTAAGGTCAGGGGATGACAGACAGCTCTGAGCATCCTGTGGAGAGAGGGATCCCACAAGCAGGCCAGTGCGTTCCTATGGGGAGACAATGACTCCTGACAGGAAACAGGGCTCTCTGCTGACAGACTCATGACATTAAAGGGGTTTCTGACTAACACACACACACACACACACACACACACACACACACACACACACACACACAGGCTTTAGATTTTCTAGCAGATTTCAAACAAAAAAAATTCTTAACAGAGTAGTGATTTCCTTTTTTTTTTTTTCTTCCAAGAGTGTAGTGACTTCTGTCAAAACACCGCATGGGTGAATAGTGATTTCTGACTAAGAGACAGAAAGGCAGAAGCCTGTAACAAACTGGAAAACAACAGAGAGGAATAAGTCCCCCTGGCCGCAGGTTCTTGGAGGGAGGGAGGGAGGCTTGTCAGAACTAAGATGTGGGGGTGTCCAGGAGAGGTTCCCACCCGGCACCATCCCTGCCTGGGTCTAGTATTTGTTGGAGGAGGTCTGGGTAATATATTTGCAATAGTAAGTGACTGGACGGCCATCCAGAGGCTTGCAGGAAGAGGAGAGAGCATCCTGGTTCTTCTGCAATGTGTCGGTGTTCGTCCAGGAAATTCTACGGGAAGCTTTTGTCCTCTTAATTCACAAAATGTTCTTAGAAGGGAAGCAACAAGGAGTGATGTCTCTAAGGTGGTGTCCCTGACATTATCTAGTAACCAGGCCCAAGCACACTAGAGGCAAGTCGGCCCGAGGTAGAGGAAAACAAAGGTGGAATTGATAACATGCTGATGGAACAGTAGGCTGGCCAAATCCTACTCCAAGGGAGCAGTCATCCCTTGTACCCCAGATTCAATCACCCACGCACCTGAGGGTAAGGTTGACAGTGACCAAGAGCCCTGCAGCTACCACAGAACAGGACAGCCTGAGAGCAGGACAGTCTCTGACCAACAAGGCTCTCATCCACCCTCCTCCCAGGCACCACCTCCACCACATGACTGGATTCCTGCAGGCGCTGGGCGCTGGCAGAATGTTAATTGTGCCGTTCCCCAGAACAGCTGCCCGGTCCTGAGCCAAGAGCTGCACACTTGTACTTTGAACCGGATGCTGCGAGGCCAGGCACAGATCTTCACCGGCCCTGCACACACGCCTCCTGTAGGCAGCTCCACACGCTGCCCTGTCACCTTCCTCTGCTTCTAGAAGTCTCCACAGCTGGCGTTCTACAGACCCGGGAACATGATCTTTCTAACTGCCATCACCCAGCCTCCTTTCCGAGGATGCTTTTAACCTCTGGTTGAATTCAGTGGAGGACAGGGAATTCCCCCACCCCTACAGATTTATTTTACTTGTATGAGTGTTTCGACTGCATGTATGTATGTGTGCCACGTGCGTGCAGGGCCCTCCTTGGGTCAAAAGCCATGAGATCCCCTAGAACTGGAGTTACGGACGGTTGTGGGTGCTGGGACCTGATCCCAGGTCCAATGCAGGAATGAGTACTGTTAAACATGGAGCCATGTTCCCAGCCCCAGGAATTCCTTTCTTAATGAATGCCCCTGACTGAACTTCAAACCATCCTGTGGTTACCAGTGCCAACTAGGAAACAGTCAAGAGTGATAACATTACAGATAAGCAGATTCCAGATGTTCTTTTTAAACCTCAAAAAGTGTGTGTGTTTCTCAGGACATGCGTATGCTGGCTAATCTGGTCTCATCATAAGAACTGCGGTACCAGACCCTCCTGCATCCCTGCATCTGCATCCCTAGCTGGGGAAGTGAGTGAAGTCTGTTGGGTCCTCAGCAGTGATTCTTAAACTTTAATGGCCTAGATTGCTGCTCCTCTACAACTTCCCAGGGTGAGTGTAGATGTGAATTAGGAAGCTGTGTAGCCCTCAGACTCCTCCCCTTTCTATGAAGACGCACAAGGTCTCAGCAGTTTCTGAACATCGCTTAACCTTACTTAATGACCTCATCTGTAAAATGGGGGTAAAGTTGCCCTGCATGACTATTGAGGTGATAAAATGAGATAATATGCCTAAAGTACAGTGGTCCCTGGAGATCTGTGGAGTTTGGCCCCAGGAATCCTAACAAGGGGCAAAATCTGCAGTTGTTCATCCCTTCTGTAAGTTGGAGTAGTGTTTGCACATATCTATACAAGTGGTCCCATGTGCTTTATTTTTTATTTATTTTTAAATTTTGTGTGTATACCTATTTTGCCCAAATGTATGTCTGTGCCTGGTGCTCAAGGATGCCAGAAGAGGGTGCTTGTTCCCCTGGAATTTGAGTTACAGATGGTTGTGAGCAGCTGTGTGGGTCCTGGGAACTTATCTCTAGATCACACACACACACACACACACACACACACACCTATATATGTTCACTGTAGATGCCATTTTTTTTTCAGAGTTCTTTAAACTACAGTTGGTTGAATTAGAACCCATGGACACAGAAACTAATTGTATACAGCAGGCAATAGGTCTATGAACTTGAGGAAGCAGTGCCTCAGGTGGATGGCGGCAGGCAAGGCTGTGCCATGTGCCACCACAGAGCATCCAGCTGAAGAGCTGAGTGGAGGTTGATGACAGGCTGCGTCTCCCAAGCCCTGTCTAGCACCCGGGTGGGGCACAAAGGCACCATGGGTGTGAGCTGTAGCAGCTGCTGAGGGTTTGTGCCAGCACCCGGCCTGTTCTGCCTGGGACAGGAAGATCGACACTTGGGATGTATGCACATGGGGTGTACCTCCTTCCCCATAGCGAGACCAGGCTCCCCTCTGGTCCTGTCTGTCATTAAACACCACGGTGAAGCGGAGCCCATCCTGACTCTTTCCCATCTGGCACTCCTTAAGGTGGGTTACCCAACTATGCATCATATCTACTCTCCCACCCAGGAGGCTTCAGTGGGACGATCTGCAGAGTCTCAGACTCAGAATCACTACCTTTATGTCCCAAGACCCCAAAAGAGGCCCCTCTAATACTACAGACAGAGCCAAGCAGGGGGAGAAAATGACAGATGGAGTCCCGCTGTCCGGGGGCAGTGACATTGTGAAGAGGCATGCTAACTGGTCTGCGGGAAGCTGGTCTTTTCCTGCCTCCATTTCAGTCTGATATCACTGCGACACAAGCCAGGAGTGTGTCTTTGGGAGCTGAGTCTGGGCGTTGTCTTCTGCCTCTGCTCTTTCGCTGTACCCAAGGGCAACCAGTCCACGCGGACCAAGAGCAGGCACTCACAGAGACCAGAGCCAGAGAGAGGCAGGACTCAGCGTGTGCTTGCAAAACCAGATTTTCTTCTTCCAGAGGCTAGAAAACACCGGGCTTGAACAACCTGGAAGAGGAGGTTGGGTCAGAACAAAGTGGGGTAAAAACGCCCGAGTTGCTCAGTCTGTCTTCCTGCCCACGAACAGTGCTAGGTGCCCATAGACTGGAACAGAAAGTGGTGGCCGTAAAGATGAGCAGAGATTGAGCCAGAAAGGGAAACCTCACCTCTGAACAGAAGCAAGGGTATAAGAACTCTCTGCAACTTGAGCCTCGAGGGACCACACTGCTGAAGGCGTCGACTCAGATGTGAATGCTCTCCTCAGATGAGAAGGATCGATAGGAAAGGGTGCTTCGGAAAATGCTAGACCCACTTCTGCAAAAATAACAACAGGAATGAAAACTGAGCTCGTCTGCACAAAAACTGGGTTTTCCAGGTGACTAAAATATCTTTTTGCACTAATTTTAGGAGGAAGAGGTAAATAATAAGAACCATAAAGCAAACCAAGGGTTTAAAAACGACGACGACGACGACAACAAAATGTTTTATAATAACCCAGGGCTAATGTGTCCCAGACTGGTTTAAATTCTCTATGCAGCTAAAGGTGACCTTTAGTTCTGATACTCTGCTTCCACCACAGAGATTATGTGGCAGTAAGGATCTGTCTCAGGATTACTATTGCTGTGATGAAACACCACGACCAGAACAATCTGGGGAAAAAAGGGTTTATTTGGCTTACTCTTCCAATCACTATTTATCATCAAAGGAAGTCAGGACAGGAACTCAAGCAGGGCAGGAACCTGGAGGCAGGAACTGATGCAGAGGCCATGGAGGGGTGCTGCTTACTGGCTTGCTCCTCATGGCTTGCTCAGCCTGCTTTCTTACAGAACGAAGGACCACCAGCCCAGGGGTGGCACCACCCACAATGGGCTTAGCCCTCTCCATCAATAACTAATTAAGAAAATGCCCTACAGGCTTACCTATAGCCTGATCATATGGAAGCATTTTCTCAATTGAGGCTCCCTCCTCTAATGGCTCTAGCTTGTATCAAGTTGATATAAAACTAGCTAGCACAGGATTGGACCCAGGTTTTCAGTCATGCTAAGCAAGGATTTTGACAACCGAGCTGCATGCCCAGCTAATGAACAGCTGGTCTTAGAATAATCAATTGAAGCAATTTAGAATCGCCTTGGAGACAAACTCTGGGAATGTCTGCTAGGGAGTCTGCAGTGGGAAAACCCGTTCTTGAATGTGCATGGCACCATCCCACGCACTGGGGTCCTGGACTGAACAAAAAAAAAAAGGAGAAGACAAGGTAGAACACCAGCGTTCCTCTCTCTGCTTCTGATGGAGGTGAGTGTGACCCTGATGGAGGTGAGTGTGGCCGCCACCCACACTTCCGCAGCCCTGGATCCCTTCTCAAACAGCGAGCAGAAGGAACCATTCAGTGTGCTTCACTCGGGCATTTTGTCACAGCGACAGGAAAGGTAACTGGACAAGGGAAGTTTCTGTTCACCCGGCTCTCAGCTCAGAAGCCTGCTCTGTCACCCATCACTTGGGACTGGTATCAAATTAGCCATCTCTTAGGATGGTTATAGAATCTGAACCCAGCATTCCCGTTTCCTTTGCATCACAGTGAAAGGGAGCTTGACCGTATTTCACACTTGACCACGACCTCCTTAAACACATTTCTCAAGGGTTCTAAATCCTTTGGACAAAGGTTATACATATTTACCTTTAACACATTCCTCATTCAGGAGGGAAGTTTGAGCAGAGCCTCGAGTGGGAGTAGGTCATCCTAATGGTCCTTACCTAGGTGGGGTGGGAGCATTCTCTCTCCAAAGAATACTTGTAATGCCTGGAGACATTTTTGACCACCATAAATGGGCTGGGGTGGGGAATAGGATGCTATTGGTATCGAGAGGGTAGAGGTCAAAGGTCAATATCCTATAAAGTACAAAACAATTGTCCCCACCCCCGACCAAAAAAAAATGACATCTGATCAGTGTCCATGTTGAGCAATAACACAAACAGGAATGTAGTCCTGTGAAGGCCAGAAGTATGGCCCCAAGTAAGCTTACATGCCTCAGGGCCAAGTTCAGAAGCCTGCTCTGTCGTCATCCATCACTTGGGATTGGTATCAATTTAGCCATCTCTTAGGATGGTTATAGAGTCTGAAGCCAGTATGTCTGGCTGTAATCAAATACAGCTATCCAGATGCCTGGCTGAGCCTGGAGTAGAATACTAGGAGTTAGTTGGGTGAGTCCCATGCTTCCCAGTACACCCAGGTCAGTCAAGACCTGAGCATAGCACATGCCTGAGCACCCTCGGGGTGGAGTTCCTCCTTAGACTTCCGCTGGGGACCAAGTTTTCTCGTAACCAGCTCTGCTTCTTTGGCTATGCCAATGTTATCCGCTTTTCGGGTCTTCCGCCTGCAGCCAGAGTTCACTTGAAATGGCTTCACTTCTTGGCTCTCATTTCTCCATTAGTTTGCCCTTGGTGCGCAGCGTGATCTGGGTGCAGAGGGTTATTCTGAGAGGCCGGGTAACCGGTGAGCATCTAGTGCAGCTGTTCTCAACCTGTGGGTCGTGCCCCCTTTGCCAACCCTTTGTCTCCAAAAAATATTTACATTATAATTCTTAACAGTAGCAAAATTACAGTCATGAAGTTGCAGCGAAAATAATGTTATGGTTGGGGGAGTCAGCACAACATGAGGAACTGTATTAAAGGTGGCAGCCTTAGGAAGGTCCGGAACCGCTGGGCTCGAGGCTGAATGACTAACATGATTTGCTCTTATCTAGCACTAATATTTCTCAAGTAACAATATGATGCAACCATTAGTAGACTATCAAGAATTTAAAGAATGGTCTTAGCTGAGCAGTGGTGGCGCACGTCTATAATCCCAGCACTCGGGGAGGCAGAGGCAGGCGGATCTCTGTGAGTTCGAGGCCAGCCTGGCTACAGAGCGAAATCCAGGACAGGCTCCAAAGCTACTTGGAGAAACCCTGTCTTGAAAAAACAAACAAACAAAAAGATAAAAAGAATGGTCATAATTCACAATAGCTTTTTTGTCAGTCTGAATTTTGTCAAGCAACAGAGAAAAAAATGTACCAACAGAGAAATAGAGCTGGGAAATGCTTGAGGCTATAAAGGAAGAGTTCTTCTGCTGGAAGCCCTTGGGAAACACTGCTTTCACTCTTGGGATGCTGGTTTCCATCTTAGCGCTTGAGCTGGAAGGCACAGCACTTCCGGAGTTCCTGGCATGCCTCCATGGAATCTCCTTGTCTGTCCTGCCCCAGGACCATGCTTCAGGGATGGCACTTGCCCCCTCCACCCTGTGCTTTGTAATCTCTACAACATTTTCATACCCTGCATCTCACTGCCAAACCTGCCAGTGAGGACCGTAGGGCGGAACAAACACTTTTACTTTATGGGTAAGGCCAAGGCTAGGAGACCTGATTTCAACTCAGGATCTAGAGCCAGAAGAGCTAGGCCTGGGCCCCATCCTGTGCCTGTGAACCCAGGGCTCTTCCCACCCCGCTTGTATTGACGATGGATGCCTCAGGAGATCTCTGAGACACCAAATATCAACCTCTCACAGAGAGTAGTGAATGAATGAAGCCGTCAAGTTAAGTACGTGATGGACTAGTCATTTTATATATTCCCATGTCCCAGTTCACTCGTGAGAATTTCACAAAGGTAAAATATAGAAAGTAATGAACATGTTCATGTTTGGTTGCCATAGTAACCTATGCTTATCTTAGGGTTCATATTCTGTACAAAAATGCCAAAAATTCCCCTTGAGGATCTTAAGTTTCTAAATCTGAAAAGGAAAACATGCTAAGCCGGTTTAGATGTTTCTAGGTAATTTCACTTTTGATATGAGTCTACCTCTGTAACTTCCATCCGCAGTAGCAAAGGAAGAACCTCCTAAAACAAGTGAGCAGGTCTGTTACCCCATTTCAAGAGATGTCCACCGGCTCATTCATTTACTCAACATCGATGTAGTGTAAGACATTGTGTTAGGCTTATGAACAACAACAAAAAACCCTGGAAACAGACCCACATAGCTGCCCTTTATAAGGGAAGTCATTATGGCAGGCTTTTAAAGCCACTTTTGATGACGCCATCAAGGGCTGGCTCTTCTGTCGGAATATAAATAAAACCTGCAGAGTACAAAGATGTCCTGCTAGTGAGGCAGAAAGTCTCTGAGTTCAGAACAGACCCTCAGATGACTGCGGTGCTTAGTGAAAACTGCTAACGGAATCCTTCACCTGAGGGTCTTTGTGATGAAAAGCAAAAAGCTGACTTTTAGAAACTTCCAAACAGGCTCAGGAGCAGCCATCCCAAGGGCAAAAAAAAAAAAAAAAAAAAAAAAAGCTACTATTCACTAAGGAACATTCTTCCTTCCTTTAAAAAAAAAGTTGTACTGGTACAATTCCATTATTTACACTGTATCTGATCAACCAATCAAAAAATAACAATGTATCATTTGCAAGGGAGCGTGGAGGTTGATCTGGCGAGAGAAAATATTCCTAGGTGGATATTCTGACATTCCCTGCCAGATGGGAGAGGACATTAGGCAGGAAATTACAGAAGTCTGTGACAAAGGAGGAAATGATTTGCCTTATGTCCATGTGGAAGGTTCAGGGAGGAGGCTAACGGAATCTACCTGCTCAGAGGAAGTGATGTCTCCATCGGCTGGAGCTGATTGCCAGGTGCCGCCGCGCCCTCATCAAGGGCACCAAGATGCCGAAGACACTGTGTCCCTGCTTTTGAGTCAGTTAGATTTTCTTTAGGGACCAGTCAGCCAACGATCTAGCCAGTGCTAGCCAGTTTGGTCAGGTCCTCAGTGGGAGAGGAAGCTGGGAGCTCAGGGAGAGTGCTCACACCCAGCCGTGGGGGTGGGGGAGGGGGCTGGTCGCAATACTGCCTGGACACAAGGGTCTTTGGACAGTGCCTTTTAGGGCTCATGTTTTAACATGTGGTCCTGGAGATTGGTTTAAAATTAAAAAAAAAACAAAACCAAAAAAAACGACAGAAGCACAGGAGTGAGTGATAAGACCCCCCTCTTGAGAGGAAATTCAGTACAGGAAAAATGCACGCAATCTCTAAACTGTCACCCCATTGCCCTTACAATGAGGACCTAGGCAGACAGGAGGCTGTGGGGACCTCAGTGCCTACCCCCGGGTCTGTGCAGGTTGTTAGGAGATCTCCAGGGACATCTATTCTCCCCATTAGCCGCCCACTGGGCCAGAGCGGGCACCCGCAGCTGCACTACCTATTGGCTCTATTGGATTACCAACCCGAGGAATCGCCATTTAGGATTCGAGGAACGGCAGGGCATTCATCTGCGCTTTCATTCATTTGTACGGCAATTAATTTGTACCTAAGTTAACAATAAAAATGGCTATGTGATCTAATAAAGTAGAAATGACTGCAAGAGGAAAAAAAAAATAACCCTGTCTGTTCCACCCTGCTAGCCAGGCCAGATCGCTCTTTCCTGCGCCTGCTGTTTTTGACTTTCTGAGAGGGTTGTTTTCAGGCAGGCAGAGGGGAGCCGGGCTTGGGGGGCCGGCCCCTGTCAGGGGTCCAGCCTCGGAGGAGGCCATGAACAGGGAAAATGAGATGTGTGTGCTGCAATACATTATTGACCTGCAATGATACAGGCAGGTCACTGCTGCAGTCTACCCCCAAGGAAAGCCAGGAAACGAGCCCTCTGGAACTGTTTAAAGCGAAGAGGGACGCAACCCCACCCCCCAGAAGATGTTAGCCCAGAATCCGCAGACCGGGGCTCCTAGGCGCCATATGGCCAGCAGACGCATTTTGTTTGGCATGAAAGGAGACTGAAGCCTTTGGATTTGTTTTTAATTCTTGAAAATTGGAATATTTTCATATAAATATCCAGATCTCCAAGCGTTGTAAAAAGTTGGAATTTCATGGGCACTGACTGCATTGACAGCCCTGTCGGACTCTTCCCTGGAGCTGAGTGGTGACAGTCCCCTTCACTCAGGAAGTGTTTACTGCAGCCACTACCGGTCCCCGAGGTCCCCTGCTGTCCTCATCTCTCCGTGACTAACCAGCCTGGCTAGGATCTGAGTTCGTGACCCTTTCCAGCATTTTCCTTGTCATTTGCAGGAGTAACCTACGCTTTACATTTGGCCGAACTTTTCACTTCCTGGAGTATTTTGCTTTGTCAGCATTTGAATGTCTTAGACATGGAGGTTGTTTCCTCAGCTACCATCTCATCCCTGCTACTGTGTTGTGTGGCTCTGGCATTGAACCTATGGCCCCAGAGCCAAAGGCTAGCGCAGTGGAGGTCACTTAGGATCTCCCTGAGGAACCGAGGCTAAGAGGATGAGGCCAAGTGACTTGCGGTCAGAGCTAAGAGCTGCGCCTGGCATCCTGTGGTGAGATGTGGTCTTTGAAGCCTCGCTTCTGATTCAGTCTGCTGCCTTGCGGTGGGAGTCAGAGCGGCTGGACTCTCCCCTGATCTTAAGCAAGTTTCCTCGCTGGCCTCTGTGTGTCATAGCTTCCCGACATCAGCTCCGAGTGCCTGCTTCACAGGGCGCTGTGATGATCATAGGGCGCAGGAGCACGAAGGTTCTCTGAAACATGCAAACTGGGGTGTGAAAGGAGAGAGATTCTAAGGTACCCCTTTTTAAAGGGAGGGGGTGTAGGCTCAGGGGGCAGGCCCCCACAGCCGGCTACAGCGGGTGTTCTGATTTGTAAGCAGGTCTCATGTCTTCCCTGACACCGTGAGAGTTGGCATCACATGTCTCAGTTGAAAGTGTCTGTCCCCAAGCACTTGGACAGGCTGTGGGGTGACAGAACTGCCCTAGGGGTTCCCATGGGGTTTCATGGAAGCTGAGTCCCAACCAGGATCATTTCACTGATCCCATGGTAAAGGCAAAGTGGGGGTGGGATGAAGCAGTGGAGGAGGTGGGGGGAGGCAGTAAGACCCTACACCTTCCTCCTTATCAACCCCAGGCTGGAATTCTGGATCACATGGGATCAGAGGAGGCGGCCTTGGGGTTCTCAGGGAAAGAGTCCCCCCCACCCTGAGACTGGCTCTCAGCTCGCCAGCCGCGGGCTTGGGAGACATGACAGAGCAAACGAGCTCTGTTCCTGCAAGCTCGAGGGACCTGCCAGCGCTCAGTTGAACTAGACTCCTGCAGTGACATCCAGGCATGCTCTGCATTAAATTAACGCTGGTAATTTCTTTCAGAGGGGTACAGCTCTGAAATGGCATGAAAGACGAAAATCTGTTCCTTGAAAAATGACGCCATATGGCCCCACACTGCTGCAGTTGGGGTAAAAGCCTTTGCCTCCCTTTGTTACCCATCAAGCCGCTGATGTTAATGTCAGATTTGCAACAGAACCATACACTCTCGGCACCCAAATTAGCTGTTAACAAGGCACTCTGGGCTAGCTCAAGGCAAGCAGATTGCTCTGACTGTGAGAGACGGGAAGCGCTTTAGCAAACACAGTGCTTATTGATATTCTCGAGCCTCGGAAAAAAGATCACTCCTTGCTCTCAGCGAATTGCCAGAGAAGGCTGGTACCCCGGCTGCTGTCTGCCGAGGTGCCAGGAGCCAACAACGGAACCTCCAGGTTTAGGAAGAAAGCTTGCTCCAGAGAAGCTGTTGAGAGTTAAGAGTCTGGGTGGGAAGAGGAGAGGGAAGGAAACCAGATCCGGTGGGGGAGCCAGGTCCTGGGAGAGGCAGCGTTAAGATCTCCAAGTATGGTCCACTGGCCCTGTTTATCCAACGGCTTCGCAGAGACTCTAGTAAAATCACTTGCAGAGCACATCTATGTGGACAGATGATGTGTAGCAGCCAAAACTGATCATCTTAAGCTCTTTCCCACCATTCTGAAAATTATGGGTGATTTTCTTTTCCTGAAGAAGATTCTACCCATAGTTAGTTACACTTCTTGCTGTCCTTGGCTCCATGGTAAGTGCAGGGTATGTGTGTGTGTGTGTGTGTGTGTGTGTGTGTGTGTGTGTGTGTGTAGGGATGGGGTGTGGGGAGGTCCATGCACTAGGTGAGAATCTAAATATCAAGGAGTGCCATCTTTTGGAGGTCACTTTGTTTTGGAGATGAATCCAGGATTTATGGGCCAGGGCCAGGGAGAGGTGGGCGCAGGAGGTAGGCTGGGTGGTTAGGAGCACAAAACTCATCCAAGAGAAAAAGGCGAAAGAACGAAATAAACAAAGCAAAGGCAGGTGGGAAGCAGGAAGAAGGTGGTGTCCATGTGGGAGCAGGTGGTTTGGACTAGGCACCTTCCCAGCAGGAGGGATGCATTGTCGTCCTAGCAGGTGCATGGCTGCATGGGCTGCATTTGGGGAAGCAGAGAGCTCCTGCAGAATGGCCTCTGAACGTGACCCTTGAGTCATATGACTTCTCAAATGGGGCCTCAGGCCCTCAACATGCATAACGTGGGGACTGGTGGAGCCCAGTCCTCCTCTCAGGCCGCCGACAGGCACAGAGGTACCAGAGGTAAAGGCTTGAGATAGTGTGCTAGAGGTACAGACAGAGGGCTGAGCACTGTGATGTGACGTTGGTTGGATGCAGCACTGAAGGGGCAGCATTGGAAGTGGGCCTGGAAGGATGATGTCTTAGTCAGGATTTCTATTGCTGTGAAGAGACACCATGACCATGGTAACTCTTTTTCTTTTTTTTTTTAAGATTTATTTATTATGTATACAGTATTCTGTCTGCAGGCCAGAAGAGGGCACCAGATCTCATTACAGATGGTTGTGAGCCACCATGTGGTTGCTGGGAATTGAACTCAGGACCTCAGGAAGAGCAGCCAGTCCTCTTAACCGCTGAGCCATCTCTCCAGCCCCATGGTAACTCTTATAAAGGAAAAGATTTAATGGGGCTGGCTTACAGGTCAGAGGTTCAGTCCACTGTCATCATGGCGGGACATGGCAGCATGCAGGCAGACGTGGTGCTGGAGAAGGAGCCAAGAGTTCTACATCTGGATCTGCAGGCAGCAGGAAGAGAGAGTGACACTGGGCCTGGCTTGAGCTTCTGAAACCTCAAAGCCCACCCCCAATGACACACTTCCTCCAACAAGGCCACACCTACTCCAACAAGGACACACCTCCTAATAGCGCCACTCCCTGTGAGCCAATCAGGTCTTTTTCACACCACTATAGATGGGTATAAAATAAACACAGGGCTTACAGGATCTTCAGGTCCTCAGCATACAAACAAGGCCCTCTAAATCCAGCCCTTGCTGGTTGTGATGCAAAGCCAACCTGACCTTCCTTTGTCAGCAGCCTCCCTTGTCTTAAACTGTGCTGAGTTTGGGACAATATGGCATTGAGATAACAGGACAAACACGGAAAGCCAGGTTGGCTCTGGATGAAGGTGGGAAAGGGGGCAAAGCCAGCTTGGTTTAGAGAGAGAGTGTCGTGTGGAAATTAAGACCTGGCCCATGGCAGCAGCAATGGATGGTTCCTAGCTGTGCTTCTCCATGGACAAGCCGCTGGGCTCCCCCTGTGAGGAGAGATCAAAACCATATTTCTGACAGTTCTGGTATCCAGTTTTATAGTCCAACAGACAATCTAAAGAGCTAAGTTTGAGACACGTGTCTGTACAGCTGACTTTGACGAAATGATAGGGTTTGGGTTTTCTGCGTGACATACGTACATAGTTTCTAGGAATGCCGTGGGAAGCACTTTGGTTCTAGGCTGTCTTCTGGGGCGCAGCTGGACTGTGGCTGGCAGTAGTCCTTCCAGCTGACGAACAGCTGTCAAGGCTATACAAAGGCTCCAGGGCAAGCGTAACCACCAGTCAGCATCTTCTAGGAGAGATGAGGCAGAATCAGGATTCTGAAGCTTCTGCTGGCCC